ATATTAAAAACTCTTCTTGTAAGTTTTACTTTCCTTTCCTCTTAGCAATTTTGTGCCTGGATTGAAAAGATTGTATTTTAAATAATGCAGAAGCTTTTACAATTATCCTTAAGCTTCAAGAGCTTCTATTAGAATTCATTTCCATTTTTTCTCTCAGTTTCCCTCCTTAGGCCCAAGTACACCAGCTCAATGTAATGGACTCTTGACTGCTATTGTTGTTTAAGTAATTAAGTAATTCACAAATACCCACACATATCTGCATTGATGCCATTTTAGTAATAAAAATAAATTCATAATTTTTATGGTAAAATATACTTGAAACATTTATTTTTTTATTTTTATTTTATGTGTATGAGTATTTTGCCTACATATATGTAAAGTGCACCTATGTCATGTAATGCCTGCAGAGGCCAGAAGTGGACATAGGATCCCCTGGAAACAGAGTTACAAATAGTTGTGGCTTAGTGATTAAGAGCTCATACTGCTCTTGCAGAGAACCTGAGTTCAGTTCCCAGCACCTACATTGAGTGTCCCATAACCACCTGTAACTCCAGTTCCAAGAGATCCAATGCCCTCTTCCAGCCTCCACAGGCTCCTGCACATGTGTGGTGCACATAAACTCATTCAGGTACATGCACATACATATACATATACAGAAAAAAGCATTCTTGATATTGCCTCTTAAAAATGCTTTAAAATTGATTTATAAACTCTCAGAAATGTACCCTATTTGTATACATCATTAATGTGGCTTATTCAGTCATTATAATTAAAGTACATTGAGATTCAATTTGATTACAAATTTATTAAGAAATACTGAAAAAAGAATCAGTGAAATGGTTCAGTGAGTAAAGTACTTGCTTCACCAACCCAACCACCTAAATTTGATCCTCAAAATCCATAGTAGAAGGAGGGCTCCTGAAAGTTGTCCTCTGACCTTCACATGTGTACTGTGGCATCCAGGCATGGGCCCTTACACGTTTCTTATATATACACAAAATACACACACACACACAATCATAAATCAGATTTTCAAAAGGGAATGTTGATGGGATTGGAGAGATGGCTCAGCAGTTAAGAGCACTAGCTATATTTGCAAAAGACCCAGGTTCAATCCCAGCAACAACAAGGCAGCTAGCAACTATCTGTAACTCCAGTTGCAGGGTTCTGCCACCCTCTTCTGTCCCCTGTGGGCACTGCACAACACGGGTACACTTATACACATGCAGGCATAACACTTATACACATAAAAATAATTTTAAATTAAAAAAAAATTATTTATTATTTTTATTTTATGTGTATGCATGTATTGCCTACATGTAGGTAAGTGCACCCATGTCATGCAATGCCCGAGAAGGTCAGAAGGGCTGTCGGAACCCCTGGGACTGAGTTACGGACAGTTGTTAGCTGCCGTGTGGGTGCTGGGATTCGAACCTGGGTCTTCTGCAAGAACCACCAGTGTTCTTAACCACTGAGCAATCTCTCCAGCCCCTAAAAATAAATTTAAAAAATGTTGGAACATGAGGCTGGAGAGATGGCTCAGCAGTTAAGAACACTGTTCTTGCAGAAGTCCCAGGTTTGAATCCCAGCACCCACATGGCAGCTAACAACTGTCCGTAACTTCAGTTCCAGGGGATCCTACCGCTTCTTCTGACCTCTACGGGTGCACTTATCTACATGCAAGCAATACATGCATACACATAAAATAAATAAACTGTTTTTCAAAATGTTGAAACATGCCAGGTGTGGTGGTGCACATCTTTAATCCCAGCACTTGGGAGGCAGAGGCAGGCGGATCTTAAGGCCAGCCTGGTCTCCATAGTGAATTCCAGCACAGCTGGGGCTCCAGGGAGACCCTGTCTCAAAAAGACAAAAAAAGAAAAAAAAAAGTTGAAACATATGAAAAGTCACAGTGAGCTCTCATCATGCTCTCATCATCCAGTTGGAAGAATAAAACACTATCAGTCCAGCCAAAGCTTTCTATGTACCTGTGTTAGTTACTTTTCGTTGCTATGATAAAACACCATGTAAAAGTAACTTATAGAAGAAAGGTTTTGGCTTATGGTTCCAGAGGGGGTCCATATTGTCAAGGAAGACATGGCAGCAGATAGCCAGAGCAACATGCTGCCTAATCACATTTCAACACACAGGAAGCCAAGAGAGTGAACTCGAAGTAGAGCAACGCTATAAGCCCTTAAAGCCCACCAGTGGTATAATGTGCTTCCTCCAGCAAGGCTGCACCTTCTATGACTCCCCAAATAGCACCACCAGCTGGGGACCAAGTGTTCAAATACCTGATCCTATGGAGGCATTGCTCATTCAGACCACCCCCAACTTCATCTCACTTCCATCCCCCTGCCAGAGAGGGTGATGTGGGCTGATTTCCTCACACTTTCACTCCTCATGTTTATAATCCTTAGCAATGTGTGGCATTATATGGGATATTTTCAAAGTATTATATGAATGATGCCATACTGTGGCCTGTCATACTTTTTCCTCATCAAACTTACAAATTTGTCCATGGTAATAAATATAATTCTACTTTAATTTCATGGTTCCATTCCTGACTTAATCATTTTGTTGGTGAACATTCAGATTTTTCCATTGCGGTCAGTATTACAGAAAATGCTAAGAAGATGTTTTAAGAATATTTCACTAAACCAACTCATGTAAATTTAGGAATTTAGGCTATTTAGGGAGGCATGTCTACTAATATTTTTAGAATCTTTAAAGTATTCCCTAATGTTTGGTCCCTAGTGATAAATGTGCTATTTGCATTTCTGTTTGTTGAATTGCCCTGATTATATTTTCATAACTGACCTTACTTCTAAAGAAATTTTGAAGCAATTTATAGTCAGAAAATACGTAATTTAAAATAACAGCAAGTGCTAGTTAAGAAAACCTAGACAAGATCTGGTATCATCTAAGAATAAAGAACCTCTCCTACCCCATTGGCAGTAGTGCAACACATACTTGAAAATAACATTTGAAATATAATAATTGAAAATTCTATCTTTAAAATGTCTAAAGTTATTTTTTAATTTAATTTTGATGTCAAAGAAGATAATTTGCTATTTTACATACTGGACTGACAGCTTAAATCTTGAAAATATCCTTTTCTACAGCAGTTAGACATGAAATTGAATGATTGGGTTTTTGAAACAAGATACATAGACAGTGAATGACAGATTGAGAAGGTATTCATAGCCAACTACAACCAAAATGAGGTTAAGGAAGCTCAGCTGCCTTAGCTTATTTCACTAAGGGCGGTCACATTGCTGTGATATATTAGGTTTTATTGAATGAGACACATGAGGATGTTATAATAAAAACTTTTGATAAAGCGACCCTAGAGTCAGGGTATATGTCTAGGGCATCGTGTTTCTCAGTCCATAGAAGTGTATAGGTGAGTTAGAAAATGCATGTCAGTCTCTCCTCTGACTTAGAAGTGGTATTTCTGAATAGCACCATCCCATTGGGAAATTGAGTGGCCTGTGGCCAGTGGAGATATTATTTTTCTTTTAAGTCCTTTGTTTTCATGAAAGAACTCTTAGATTTTCAAAATGTTTTTCAAAGTAATTTAGTTTGCATTCAGTCATGCTCAGAAGTCTCCTGGAAAACTTTACTATTAGCTTTTACCATGTATTTTTTTTTATAGAGAGCCCACACTTGATGAATTTCAAAGAGACTTTCATTTAACATCAATTTTAATAAACAGAGTTTGATTTCTTTTAAAAAATTTTTTTAGAAAAATATTTTATTATTTTTATTTTATGTGTATGAGTGTATTGCCTGCTTGTGTGTAAGTGCACCCATGTTGTGAAATGCCTGTGGAGGTCAGAAGAAGGCATAGGATCCCCTGGAACTGGAGTTATGGACAGTTGTTAGCCACCATGTGGGTGCTGGGAATTGAACCCAAGAGCAAGAGCAGTCAGTGTTCTTAACTGCGGAGGCGTCTCTCCAGCCCCAGAGCTTTGTTTCTATACCCTGATTCTATTGTATGGGACCTATAATTAATAGCAATTATATTTTCAAAACATTAACTTTATCTTTTTGTGACAAATCTCCCCTGATACTATTAAAAGAAAATTGTATAACTGTCCATTTTTGGTAAGGGGATTTAATGTCAAATGAATGTGTGTTTGTAAGCGATCTTGTTCTTGCAGTTTAGATATGCCATCGTCAGGTGGTAGTGATTTACATATACATACGACATTCTACTAAAGGTCAACAGTTTAGCCCACAAAGATTTGTATTCATAAATGCACAAACTTATATATGGACATTAAAATAACAGTATATCTATTATTTTATCAGAGCTAAGCATACTTTGAATGGAATTTAAAAGATGTACATATGAGATTCAACTGGATACTTTATCTTTTCTGTAAATAAAGCATTTCATCTTTATAAACAATACTTTCTATATTTCATTTTATTCTAATTTTATTGTGTACAACTTTTAGTATGTATTTGATTTGGGGAATAGATTGGAGGACAGTGGAAATATGTAGCTTTACTAATATTGTATGCACAGCTTTATAAATTACAACTTGTTTGTAACTGTTTCCTGAATTCTTAATCTTCTGTTGATTAAGTCTTCCATGTGGTATCATTCACCTTTTGGTATATAATGTGTGTTTCTGATTTTCAGTCATCAAGTGTATCCTCTGCCTTCTATCTACTATCCAGAGTGTCATAGCATGACATCTGTGCCTCATACTTATTTTGACACACAGAAATTTCTAATTCACCTTGAAGTAGCTGGATACTTAATATTTCCTCTATTACAGTTTTCTGCCAAAGCATTTGAACTTTCAATTTCCAGCTAAGATTGAAAATGTATAACCCCTTTCTTAGTTAGATCATATGGATATTTTATGATTTTATAGATTGTACATCATCAGATATCACATACAAACATTTCAGGACTATAATAATATGAGATGGAGCCATTGCCTAATTCCCACCAAAATAAATATTTCCTTTCTTTTTTATAGCATGAAACATTGCATTGAAGAAATACAGTCCGAAGTAAACAAACTCTGTCCAGATGTGCAGCTGCAAACAACAACTGACTGCTTTGCATGGATAACTAACTATAATTATAATTCATCTAAGTCACCATTCATTCCCCATGAAGATTTGATAAAATTCCTCAAAACATTGGTAAAAAAAAATGTTTTATAATAAAATGGAGTAGAGGGGACAGGGAAAACAATTGGTTGAATTACTATATGTAAATATTTGTTTACTGATAATAGCCTGCCATATCTAGAGTTTTGGTTTTAGGTGGATTTTTGGTTGTTTGTTTGTTTGTTTGTTACTAGTACCCCTCTGAAATTCTATGATCTATTTGTTTTAATTAAAAAAATTTTTTGCATTAAAGTAAATTTTAGAGAAATGAGGGTTAAATATTGTAATTCCTAAGTGACTTGTAGTATGAGAGATAGCATTATGACCACAAATTTACTGGTGTGTACTGAAATTGTCCTCCAGAGAAGTTCCTGTTCATTATACTTTATGTTCCTTCATAACACTAATGTTCTCTGTGCTTAGTATTAAAGGTGATAAGAGCCCTGTGATTGTATCTTTCATGTGGCCTTACCTCTCATTCTCTGCATTCTCAGTTTGCCGTCATACCTTTTTTTTTTTTTTTTCAGTTGAAGCAGAACTGTATACAAAACTACTGTTACTTGATGGTCATTCTTTAATGCTGGCCAACCTCTCTACTTTAGAGAAGTTTTTGTAACCTCCAACAAAAATAGTTTTTTATTTTATACCTACATGTACTGGGGGCTAGGTTGCAAAAACAGATTCCCATAGGAACAGCACAACTGTTCTTTTGAAAGCAGTATTTCTACAGCTATGGTTTTAATTTAATTTGAGAGGGAGAAAAAGGACTCTTTTTGGCTTAACATCAAAAACATTCACCAAGTCAGATGTGGAAAATATCTTGAGGTTGTAGATGGTTTAGGATGACAGAATCAGATGAAAATCATTTTTGGCTGTTGTTATTATTGTTGTCTCTTTAATGTTTATGAAGTAATACAAGGAAGATAAAGGAAGACTCTACGCCCTGAAGTCTTAATCTTTTAAGAGAATTCTCTCACCCATTATCTCTTGGAGATGGAGCCTTGAAGAATAAATGTGGACATAGTTACTCCTTTAATTTCTATTAAGAGCCATGTGTATTGAATTTCATTAATATTGATGTAATAATGCTTTCTCAGTTAATTAAAAGCAAAAGCTTTTAATTATCTTTTAATCTGTCACTCTAAGTCATTTTCTATTCACTGCTGTGCAAAGGCTGCCTTTAGTTTTATTCAAACTCATTATTCTGATAGGCTTATGACAAATCTATGCTTTGTTATTGTTGTTTTTATATAATTGATCATGTTATTTTGAGGAAAGAACCACATTATCAAAACAGATTCACATTCAAATAACCTTATCAATTTCCTGCATGCTAGAAGTGCCAATCTTGATGGATATTTTTTATTTATTATTTTTACTTTTTATGTGTATGAGTGTATTACTCGCATGTATGTAAGTGTACCCATGCAATGCCCGCAGAGGTCAGAAGAGGCTGTTGGATCCCCTGGAACTGGAGTTACAAATGTTTGTTAGCTGCCCCCATGTGGGTGCTGGGAATCAAACCCAAGCCCTCTGCAAGAGCAGTCAGTGCTCTTAACCACTGAGCCATTTCTCCAGCACCATTAATGGATTTTTATATATCTATTTTTCTTTTTTACTTAATTTTTATTTTATGTGTATGCATGTATTGCCTACATGTAGGTAAGTGCGCCTGTGCTGTGCAATATTCTCGGAGGACAGAAGAGGCTGTCGAACCTCTTATAACTGGAGTTAGGTAGTTGTTAGCGGTCATGTGGGTGCTGGGATTTGAACCTGGGTCTTCTGCAAGAACAGCCAATGTTCTTAATGGCTGAGCCATCTCTCCAGCCCCCTATATATCTATTTTTCATTAAAAAATTATTAATTAGATATTTAAATGAGAAACAGATTCTCTTTATGGCAGTTATACTAAATATATTTCAAAAATATAAGCAATCATAAAAAAGCACATTTTAACCTCTGAAATTTATTATTCTTTGTTTAAGAAAATTTTTACAGCTGGTAACTGACTTATAGACCTAAAACTGAGCTGTTAGTATGACTCATTTGCTTTATAGAGTCTGCCCTAGTTCTAATGTGTCCTGGGCTTTCTATAAGGACATTTCCTTTCTAGAAGTATCTAAAGAACTAAATAGCAGGAGAGCTGAGAGCAATGCAGATAAATTACAGGTGCTTTGTAGTTCTTCCCCTGGAATGAATGCAGGCGAAGAGAGTGAAAGCAGGTTCTTCCCGGGTTCCCTGCCTCCTTCTAGATGACGTTTGCAAACTCATGCACGCATGCTTCATTTAGTTGTCCTTAGCCAGAAATTGGGCTTTTTGGGTTTTGAAATATTGGTGTCACAGAGTTTTCATTATGAATATACCAGAGACTGCGGAAAATGCTTTTTATATGATAAATTATAGATATTTGATATGATTATTATAAATAGAACATTAAATTTCACATTACAGTGCTTAAAATGACTGAGAGCCAATTCCAGGAATTTGTCTAGGGGTTGTTCCTAATTCTGAATTACATATAATACCTGTGATATCTTTATCAATAAGAAATTTCAAAGCCAGACTAATTTTTATGCCACTTGAGCCTTGCTTCCATTTCTTTTTATAATCAACTTGTTTCTACTTAGAGAATATGAACTAATTTCAGTATTGACTGAAATGGATGTAATTAGGAAAGTCATCGTGTATGGAGAATGTGTGTGTAATTCAAAGTCCAAGAAGAAAGCAATTTTTTGTTCTTTTATTATTCATAATTATACCCACCATTGTTTTCTACGAACATGGGAAGATTAAAGGAATAATTTCCTATCATCTTTTGGGAAGCCTTTCTGAAAATTTCTTTATCCCATTTTGAGTTAGTTATTTCTTTGGAGAGAACAGAAATATTCTCAGATTAATTTTCAAAGTAAAATCTTTCTTAACATGGTTCTCAGAAATGAATTTAAATGAAAGTTGAAATCTTCCAATGTATTAAATTTTATTACTCATGATGGCAGCTATTAGTAACCCCTAGGCACATACTATATTTAAAGATCTATCTTCTAGAATTATTTTAAGCATTGTATTTCGTTTGGGGTTTTATAATAGTGAATATATTCATTCAGGCACAAAAATTATCTGCCATGAATTAATTAGGGGCATGATCTTGAATTTATTTTGTCTTAGGAACACATTTCAATCAGTGCTTTATCCTGGATTTTTAGAGTTTTGCAACTGCAGCTTTCCTACGGCGTAGGTTACAGAGTTGAGTAACAGTGAGGGCTAAAGTTGTATGACTTGTAATCTAATTGAACGGATAGCCAGTGAGCTGGATTTTACAAAATCTCGGTCTCTCAAAATTAATACAGTCTATAATTTCTGCAGTGATTAAGTTACAAATTCAACTTCAAATATCTTGAAGAATATAGGACATTTATTCTAAATTATAGTCAGTTATTATGGAATTGTGCATGTCCGTAAAATTTTTTATTGTACTTGGATTTAGTCATATTTCTAATATTGTAATTTACTTTTACCAGCAAAAATTCTTGAAGAATGAGCAAAATCAAGAAGAAATGATTCTGGATTTGCTTTGGGACCTCTCTTGCCAGAGAAGTGTTTCATTTCCATCGACCCTAGGTGGGACATCATTCTGTTTCCTCTCCAGGACGTCTCTGCATTCCGTTGAAGATGACTCCTGTGTGGATGTAAAGTCTATATGGGATGATATAAGACTACATCTTCGACGTTTCTTAGTGAACAGATTAGAAAACTATAATGAAATAAACAATTCGCAGCAGCAAAAAATTGTATTGAAAAATCAGTGTCTACAACAACTATTGTTTCTTTATCCAGAGTCAGAAGTGATCATCAAGTACCAAAACATACAGATTAAAGCATTGGCTGACTTTCTGCAGAACTATTTTCCTTCTTACAAAAGAGACTCAAATTTAGAAGTAATAGTTTGTGGATACAAAAGTACAATGCTTAAGTTATATTCAATGATAAAAGAGGATTTTAATGTACTATGTGAAATTTTAGCTACATCCTCAATAGTAAAGTTCATTAAAGAAACTTACCTGGATACAGTTACAGAAGAAATGGCAAATTTTCTTGAAAATTTTTGTGAGCTGCGGTTCAATGAAAATGCTGTTCGGGTGGTTAGAACAAGCAGGAGTTCCGGCAGGCATAGAGGAGCAGTGCGTGCTTTGGGTTAGTGACATTTACGTTTTCTGTTCCATTTGACTTAAGCCTTTTGACATCTTTCATTTTCAGGTTTGTTGCTGTTGTTGTTTGGTTAAACCTCAGTGCAAGCTTGATATTAACCAGATAATAAATGTAATGAAATTTTGTAATATACATTCATCTTAGCATTCCTTTTTCTGTAAATGTAGTCATAAGAGTGTTTTCTTTCCTGTTAAATTGTTAGTGATATTGAAAATGTCAGCCAAAGACTTGCAGTAAGACTTTTATTTCTCTTGATTACATATAACAAATGATTAGTTATTAGCTAAAACAAATTCATACATAGAAATGTGTACCTACAAATGCAAATATCTGTATACAAGAAAAGCATGACTTTTACTCTGTTATGTCTTACAAGGCCAAAACATTATTACTTAAAGGAGAGTTGTTGACATTTGCATTGATTAAAATTAGAATTTAAAAATACATTGTAGTCATCTAGTTCTAATAAATAACAATTATAATACTTATAAAATCTTTTTTAGTTTCTTAGTAAGTATAATCCTTTCTGCTAATTCTAGAAGTTTTCTCTATTATTTTCTATAGGAATATGTACAATAAAGCATGGTTTTTAAAATCCTAATTTTATTCAAAATATTAAAAAAGAAAATATAGCAATATAATAAGCTTTCTTGTTATGATTTTAATTTTCTACCAGTAGAGAAAAATTAAAGTGAAAATATGATTGTTTGAAAAATTATTATTAGACATGAAGCTCTGAAGTATATGTCTAAGTGGGTTCCTGAACTATTATTTAATATTTAAAAATTATCACTTTTTCAATTATTATAAATCTTTGAATTTATGATGATTTAACATTTTCTATATTTCACTATATATTTTTACTTATCTTCTTTAATAAATTGCCAGAGAACTAAATTAATGTGATATTTGAATTTCAAATAAGTTAATATCTTAAAATTTAATTTTTTTCTTTGGAGTCTGAATCACATTGCATAACAGATGAATCAACCAATTTGTTGTATAAAAGTGAGGTTATAGACAGTTGATTCAAGAGCACTGTGAATTTACTCTAAAGAAATATACTTTCATTTTAATTAACACTTTTTTTTTAAATGCATTTCATGCATGTGCTAATTTTCTAAAGGTCTTGTATAATTTTTGAAAAATCCTGCCTACTTGGAAATTGTTTTGTGTACAGAAATTTTTTATGTGCTCCATCTTTAGGACTGATATAGAGGTGTTACCCAGTTTGTAAGAAAAAAAGTATGTAAGTCCACTTTGACACTTGAATTGAAAACATATCCCACAAGTCTGACTGTACTGATCTTTCTCAAACTCTGTTATCTGAAATTTCCTACAAATAATTTTTTAAATGAGCACTTTCTATATACCAAGCACTATGCTAAGAATAACCTGTTCTTTAGTATCCCAACTTTATGAACAAGGATAAAAAGGTTAACTTGCCCTGAATCATTTGTGTGCAGTCAGGATTCACGTTCAGAATGAGGATTCATTTACAGGTCTTTTTGTGTAACACTTGTTTTCTACCACCTTGCTATTGGTCTGTGTCTCAAAGTATAAGATTAAATGCTTTGTCACCAATAAAAGAAATTTGAAACTTTATTGGCCAATTGGACAGCTTGAAAATAAATTTCATTTGGCTTTATTGACTGCCTACCATAGAGTCATTTAGCAGCAGCCATGTTTTAACACTGTGAGCCAGACACTGAATTGGGAGGAGAACCAAATGAGTCATTACTACTGTATGAAAAATGCTCAGCTAGTCCACAGACCAATCATGTTTGTTTTCCTTTTTCTAAAACCCAATTGTTTTGATCCAATAACCAAATTTTATTTAAGAAATTACAACTTTCAGAGCAGCAACAACAATTTGTATTACTATTTGGATAAATTCTAGGTGGGCCTGAGTGGGACATGTATTATCTTTAATATGACCACTGAGTGCTTGCTATTTTACCTGAGGCTATAGAAAAATTAAGTAAAAATGCAAACATTTATTCGTTCAAATAATGATGTCATTATATATATAATCCTTCCAATCACCCAACAAAGCAGATGCCATTAATGTCTCCCTTAAACCATGGGGAAACTGAAACAGAGATATTTAAGCAATACCCTCAAGCTCACAATGTCAGAACTCAAATTCCTGTCTCCAGATCCTTTATTCTGTGACTATGCTGTCCTGGCCATACTGTTTAAGAACACTGCTCTGAATCCTCCTCATTGTTGTGTGGTCACTGTTTTCCTCTTCTCCAACCTATCCTACACTTCTCATTTGAAAATAACACAATTCCCATCTAAAAGTCTTTGTTTATATTTCCTCTTTAGCCGTCTGTCAGTATACCCTAAGATTTATATATATATATACTCTAGTCCTGTCTGTGCATATACCTCCAGGTTCTTGATGAGCTAAGATAGTTTGGACTGACTGAATTTTTGATTCCTTCTGATTTCATACTTAGATTGAGCATTCTTCCCACAATGGTCTATAAATTATCTCCTCCTTTTACTTGAGCTTCAAAGAAAGTGATTACTGCTTATCATTATGTGTAAGACTTTACAAGACTTTATTCATGTGAGTTCATTTAATCTTCTGAACAGTTCTCCATTATTATTTATGGGGAAATGAAAATTCAGAGAGATAAATATTTCCCACAGCTACGTAGCTAATAAGCCACAAAAGGAGCTTCCTCTGTTTGCAATGATCTCTCTCTGTCTTTGTCTTTGTCTCTTACTCTCTGTGTGTCTCTCCATCTGTATCTCTCTCTGTCCCTCTCCCTGTCTCTGTCTCTCTTTTCTTTTTTTCTTCCAGTATTGAAGGTCAAACCCAGGGCCTTGCATATGCTACGAGTCCTCTACTGTTGTTACTGTTGATCTATTGTCTAGACATGCCACAACCTGTGTGTCAGAAACAGCACAAGACACTATGATTCTTAGCTTTAAAAAAACTCACTTGCCAAACACTTGCACATTTTGTTTCAGTCTTCATATTTATGGATTCCCTATAGGACTGATTAAATGTTTTTGCATATCTTTTATCTTGGTACATTAGTGGCTTGTGATTTGCTTGTGCTTTTTACCCCAGAAAATGATTAGGTGTGGTTTCTAAGTTATGCAGTGCTCTGCGAGTAGCTGGCCTTTCTGCTGTTAGTATTCATACAGGCACCACAGAATGCCTTCTGCCTATAACCAACTCAGACTCTTCTGGACATATATACATACACGTATATTATATTATATATGTGTGTATAATAGATAACAATATTTCTGTCCATTTCCTTATGATAAGGAACAAGGCAGATATTTATAATTATATAGTAAGCTTCTCTAGAGTTAAATTCAACATGTTGGCATTTTTGGTAACCTTTTTCTTTTACATTCATAAAGTTTTGAATGTCTCTTTGAGAGCAGCTACATTTTTAATGTTATACTACATTTAGAAATGTGTGGCTCATATTCTTTATTTGAAGGAAATGATGTTAATATGAATGTTATAGAATCTTTATGATTTAGTGATCTTTTCTAAAAAAGAAAAATATTATTTTGCAGATAATCTTTGTTTTTTATTATTATCATTGTTATTGTTAAATATTGTCTCTCCTAGCCCAGGCTGGCCTTGAAATTCTTATGTATTCCAGACTGGACTGGAACTCACAGTCTACCTGGCCTGGATCTGAGCCACTATGCCAACTATGTGGTTGTTTGTTTGGCATTTTTGTTGGTTACTTTTTTTCAGTGTTGACTGAACTTAGGGCCTTGTGCATGCAAGGCAAGTGCTCTGTTGCTGAGCCGTGTGCCTTGCCTTTAAATGTTTTTACAGAGATTCAAGAATAATTTAAGAACCATAACTTGCACAGTAACTCTTTTCTGCTAATCTGTGTTTTTGTAGTTTCTCTTCTAATATTATGAGGAAAATATTTTAAAAGTTTATGCAATAATATTTTTGGCTTCATTTCTTAAAGATTTAAAAATTACAATAGACAGTTTTCAGAAAGTTAGTGATTTGCAGTTAACATTTTTTATTTAAAATTTTTATTTTACGTGTATGAGTGTTTTGTTTGCATGTAGTAAGTGTACCACATGTGTACAGTGTCTGTGAAGGCCAGAAGAGGGCAACAAATGCTCTGGAACTGGAGTTACGAAAGTTTGTTAGCCACCATTTAGGTTCTGGTAACCTGGAACCAAACCTGGGTCCTCTGCAAGAGCTGCAAGTGCTCTTACCTGCTAAGCCATCTGTCCAGCCCCTGCACTTAACATTTTAATTACAACTGGATTGATCCTTCTCTGCAAAGTCAGATCATATTACACTTGTATAAGTTTCATTCCCATTTCAAGAGAATCATTGTCATCTTATAATATGGCATTTTTATATCTATGTTTGGAGCAAATTAATTCTACTTTTAAAGTCCTATGCCCCTTGTATTTACATAAGTACTGCTTTTCTCAATGTTTGGGAAAGTGGGTTGTTTTTAAGTAGTAAATTTCAGTTAAATAAGTATTGTATAATAATATATAAAATATATAATAGAAGTACTGTATAAGTATTGTATTATGGAAGTATGGAATTAGATTTGAATTCTAGAATACATTTTATATTCGCTATATGTCTTACTATGAGTTCTTGATATCATTGATAATTTGCAAAAGAAAGGCCTAAGAAAATATTGTATATGCACTTGAATATTCAGAAGGTTTCTAAAACTCTGCATCAGGGAAAGGGGTTAACTAAGTGGCTTCCAAAGCTGATTCTCTTTCACAGTCCCTGACTGATTTATTGAAGACTTGGAGGTATGGAAGACTGCCAGAAAGCCAGATACAGTGCCTCACCCCTGTAGTTCCAACACTCAGAAAGCTGAGGCCAGCTTGGACTATCTTACATTGTAAGACTGTATTAAAAAATAATGAAAACTCGCCAGGTGTGGTGGTGCATGCCTTTAATTCCAGTACTCAGGAGGAAGAGGCAGGTGGATCTCTGTGAGTTC